ACCACCGCTATGGGGGGACGCGTAAAAGAATTACAGAATACTCGCATGAGCAGTTCTCCTCCTAGGATTTTGTAGTTATTGGTAATTGTTCTTACATAATACAGACAAATGTGTTTTAAAACAGTGTAGTGTACCCTGGATACGGTCTGTAGCTGATGGGTTTGTCTTATATTCTTAGTACCATTTGTTTTATGATTAAGAGTTACATTAACATAGATTATTGCAAATGTGATTTAAATTCACTATATTTTATCTGTAATCGACAAAGAATGAAACATGAAATGTGTAAATATGATTCAGCCTGATTTGTGATGGGTGAATGTTAAAGGAAAAAATGTTTAGGCTGAGTTCTTCATAATTAGAAAACACTCTGTTCCTACATTGCCTAGTATGAAAGTGGTGTGTATGCGAGTGATGGTGGTGGTTGAAGGGGGCGATGGTGCAGAGTAGCAGCCACACTTCCGTCAGTTTGCCCCAGGGCAGTTGTGGCTACAATAGCTTACCACCAACGGGTATGGAGTGAATGAATAATGATCTGTAAAAGCATCTCTGTAACATATGTCTGTGAAAAGCGCTATATAAATAAAAAGTTATTTACCTACTTACTAGTATCGTTTGCATAATTTCAGTTAATGAATTTCCAATCTCTACAAAACAAAGGGTAATAGGTAGCTGTTAACTTTAAAACTACCACTTCATGACATAACAAGGTGGAACAGAGCATTTTAAGCCTGGGAGATGAAGACAGACTAATAATAAAGGATTATTCAAAGAGGTGTGATTAAAACAACTCCAGGTATGTTTTTGATGAGGTAACAATGTTATAACATCTGATCTCAGATCATTGTCCTGTTGGATCTGAGATCAGACAATCTTAGATCCTTGTATAGTTGACTAACTTTACTGAACTTTATGGTAATGCAAAAAAAGTTTAAAATAACAATAATATTTGGATGTATCCGTATACATGCCACTGTTTTGAGACCCAGCATGACCTGTTTAGAAGCTAGCCTGTGACTCACGCCTGTGTCACTAAAGCTTTTGCCATGAATGAACAAACAGATACAGATAGTGCCAGTGCTACCACGGCTATGGGGAAGTGTTGTGTAGGTGTACACATGGAGACTTGCATGAGCCATCCTTACTCATACTCCCGGGCTGTCTAAGCATTCCCATACAGTCACAAGTAATTGATCTAAAAAAAATTACAAAATATATCAAAAGCGTCTGTCTTTCATGTAGCGGGGGAAGTGTGTGGGGACTGAGCAGTGATGTGGAGTGGAGCACCTGTTGTCTGGAGCCATCCTCTCATCTCAGGCAGGTTCTCCTCATTTGGCTGGCTCTTCTGGAAGGCAGCAGCTCCAGATATGTGCGCCTTGTTAGGAGTCTGACAGTTCTGGCGAAGGGAGAGACAGGAAAGTAGCTTGTTATGAAGAATAGACTAACTATATGTCAGTCCTTGCTATGCACAGGGAGAAACGCAGGCTTGGGATAAACAAGACACCACATTTGGAGGAAGTTAATCAATGATTAATGATTAATGATCACAATTTAATTGTAACAAACCTTTAGTTAAATGTATTTTAATTAGTGTTTTCATGATATCAAAATTTCAAACTCGATTTTGATACAAAACAAAAAACAAAAAAACTTGATACTCGATAGTGAGTTTACCCCAGTCATTTATTTTTTTAAACTTTATTGACTGTTTTGTTATTTTCAACACAAAATAATGGTGTTTTTTATATACCATGCCCTTATACTAGTTCTGATAAAATTCAAGATGAAACTGTTCAGGAAAGGTCAAATTTTATGCAGTTATGCATTCTTTTTTTTCTATTCTCTATACTAGTTTTAGTATCGATTAGCGTCTGATTTTTTTATTTGTTTGACAATACCCATTTTAATTAATAAAACTACTTAGTAACTACAAAAGTATACTGTCTAGTATTAATTATTATACATCAAATGCATGAACTTTTCTAGCACCTTTAAATGGAACAAATGAAAACATATTGAACATTTTTATGACACTGATTAAATAAACAGTGTTTCGGCTTAATTGGTGTAGAATTAACAATGGCTATTTGACTGACACTGTAGAAAGAAAAAGGCTTATTTAAAATAATAAATATAGTAGAACAATTATGTATATGAGTTAGGCATAAATGAATGTCTCCAAAGTCTGGATGATTCTGACAAAGAAGCTTTTGATATCCAATTGAGCTAATGGACTCCTAAAACACTAGACTCAATTTTACATTAGATACATGGGCAGTGTTGTCATTACAAGCTGCCCCAAACTGTAAACCCAATTTACAGCTCATCGAGGCCTGTCATGGCTGGGCTGTAATTACACTGAGTCCAATATCACAGAGAAATGCTAACAGATTTAGCAAATCTCTGATAAGCATTATAGACTTACAGTGATTGGGCTGTCTGCTAGGCTGCTTATCACAAGGATGTGGGTATGCAAAGCAGGCAGGATTCAGAGCCTAACTTTACTTAAGTTAGAGGATTAATTATATTCAGGGTTCTAAGCAAATAAAACTAACTAAGGTTACTATGAGAAATGCAATAATTATGAAAAATTAATACTACTAAAATGCAATTAGTAAGTTCAGTTAAAACATGTTGTCTTTAATATAAAATGTCCATGTTTGCAATATCATCCAAGTATTGTATATATCATAAATGTATATTGCCGATCTACATTGTGTGTATTAGGCATTTGCTATAGACTGAAGCAATTATTTGATGATTATTATTCCAGTTTTTCTTAATATGTTGTAAAATGTGATATGTATTTTTCTTATGAACTGTCTCACTGTAGGGCAGAAAAGATAGCTCACATTTAGGCTTACGTGCAGGTAAAAGATGGAGACTCTTCGCCTGTCTTCAGATGTAATCATGAAACCAGTGAGGATTAGACACCAGCTCCCCACTAAAGGAGCTTTGCACGTCCAAATGTAGGACCATGGCCCCTCCTAAGCTGCCTAATATGCTCTGGCAGAAATGATGCTGCTGCTGCTGCTGCTGCCTTGCCCTCTGATTGGATTAGGAGTGCAGGAATGGTGTAGAGCGCCGTGCTGTGGCCATAAGGGAAACTGCAAAAGAAAGAAGTATACACATGTTAAAACAAAACTTAAAAACAGGTGTTAGTGATAGCAATGTCATATTTGCACAGGAAAGGTTACATGTTACAAAATAAACAAATGGATATAATTATAACTAATATTGCCTATGCTTAAGTAATAGCTGATGTATTGATTTTAAAAAGGAGAATTGGAATATTCGGTATATTTTGGATGATATGCTTGTTTATGCGTGTTTATCGGCTTTAGAATTTCCATATAGGCTAATTATTTGAACATTTATTACAGTGCTAATGATATGGTATTATCATCTATATCTATCTATATAGTGTACATTTATAGCTTCATGAGTCAATAACGGACATATTCTATATCTTCTAAAGTGATCACGGGTCATCAAACTTCTACTTTTAGCAAACAAAAACAATCAGTGTATTGTGAATGACTCTAAATAAAAAAAAAACAACACAATGCATTCCATCGCGCCCCAGCCGACATAGTCTGGGGCGAAGGAACCATCTCAGATTTCCATGAAAGAAACAGGAATTGTGCTTTAAAATGGGTGATTCACAAGACTAAATGCATGACAGCAAATACCGGAATGAAGACATTTTGTGGTTACAGTTGCTCGTTTGCCACATTTTTGCAACTGTGCTGATTAACTTCAAGAAGGAACAGAGACAGACGGAGGGGCGAGGAGGAAGTAGGGGGGAGGTAGGGCCGACCATGTGACAAGGCAAATGTGGACTCGTGAAGAATTCTGAGCAGGACAGTGGATGGCTCTGTGTGCGCCCGGCAGCATGGAGAAGGCCTGTGACATCGATCTGGTCTTACCATTAAACGTCGTCTTCCTACTGTTGCAGGATGGCATTGTAGCAAACAAAAGAGAGAACAGAAACATGCCAATACAAAACACCATTAGACACACTGCAAATGCAAGTGTTGATAGTACAGTATGTGTCTATGTTACAATTTAAAGACGCACTGTGTAACTTTTCTGATGGAGGGTCCCCATGGAGATGTTATGGTGTATTTCTGTCTTCATGGTGACAGCAGGGGTCAGTAACAGGTCAGATCTATGGAGAGATGAGGCCACAATCACAGTCCCAACCATTTTCAAGGCATTTTTGAGATATAAAAACAGCTGTAGTTTAATAAATGCTCTAAATACAATAAATCTATTTAAATGTATTTATGTAACTTTAATGTCATATTTATGTAACTTTAATGCCATACCGTGGAATATTTCTACAGCAACATCAAGGAGATAAGCAAATGGCGGACACATAAAAGTTGAAATGCAAACACTAAAATGCATTAAAGTTACATTGAATGGTTAGGAATAAAATTGTTGGTATTTTTTATTATTATTTATTGAACATATAGTATTTCATCTAAAACTGCATTTTACCAAAGCCTGCTTTCAGCAAAACACGCGTTCAAGCTAGCATATTTGAACATTTGTATTGCCTTAAATGCAACAAAAACCTTAAAATTTCATCTGGATTTACAGAAAAATAATATAGTAAAACACACAAAAGCCACAGACATGAATAATGTGAAAACTTATCTTGCAGACATGCTCATTTTGCTTATATCCATCCAAATTATAAGTTATTCACACTCTTTAAATACTGTGGCCAAGCAGGACGTGTTTCACATCAGGGGCGCTTTCAAAATAAAGTCATACACTCAGAGTAGTTCTACACTGAAATTATAAGTAAATGTTTTAATATAATATAAAATACAGTGGATACGAAGAATATAATCTCCAGTGCCGTGATAGGATCTTCTGAAAGTGACACAAACAAAATGCTAATTGTTTATGTTTGACAGTACGGACCGGAAGTTGTTGTAGTCGTTGGTTTCTCTTGACGGAGCTGCAGAAGTTCATGGATGGACACAAACTTTCAGAGGTGCACAAGTTACGCGCGCTGTCGTACGTGTCAGCTCTCCCTGTCAGTTCTCCGAGCAAAATGCCAGCATGTTGACTTTCTTTAGGACGGTGAAGTGGCAGCGTGTCCGTTTTGGGGGACAAAACAGTGCAGGCGTCTTCATGATGAAAACTTGAGCAAAGTTTAATCTTAAACGATCTGCGGCATCATGGCTCTCCACCACTGCGCCTCGCTTTCCATTTGGGCATTTATTTTAATTTTGTGCGCTGGCGTCTCTGAGTCTTACTTTGCCATTCCGTTGAAAGTAAACGCAGGTAAAATCAATGTTTCTTCGACTCTGAGTATGGCTTCGCTCCGGAGCGCAGCAGTGGACGGAAAAGGCTTGTCACTCGCAACGGACCTCACGGGTCAAGTCAACTTTCTGGAGTTGATCAACAATCTGCAAGGGGACGCTGGGAGAGGCTACTACATAGAGATGGCAGTCGGCACTCCTGGTCAGCCGGTATGTGGCAAATAATATTTTCTGAATGAAATCATAAACAAGGTTATAAGTTATGACATCATATATAAGGATTTAAGTTATGACATATTAAAAAAAGATGATGTGGCTTGCCCATTTACAAACTTTTTTTTAAGAAATTGCATTGTTTTATTGATTTTTCAGATCAGCCATGTAGGCCTAAATGATATACAGGCCATAATATATTATGATGCATAAAGATTAATTTGCAGTTCCTTAGCCTCTGGCCTAGAGAATACAACAAGGATTTAATTGTAACCCTGTTCCCCTGTTTTCCCCCCTCATTCCTTTCTGTTTCTTTTTTAGCCATGTATTTACTCATGGTCATGAGTTCCATACATGCTGTGACTGATGCAGTCTTCTGTCTAAGCATAGCCTGCCCACCATGTGACCACTGCACAGGGCTGTGGGAGTGGGCCACTGGGATATTGTAACATCCCCTCAGGCTGTCTATACATAAGATTTAATTCATAAATCAAACGGTACTTGTCACAGAAAGCTCTGTCCTGCATTCTTGGCCTTGTGGAGAATAGATGAATGAAAAGACTTAATTTATCCCAGTGTCGTCTGTGATGAGCTGATCAGAACAGGGAGCTCTTATAACTGCAGGGGTCCGTGCAGAGCTGCAGCCTTGAGGAGTGTAGGTAGACTAAAGACCTGCTCACATGCACTCACATGATGTGTTCTCACCAAGAGGACCACTGCGTCTTACCAGGCAGCTGACCGGGATTATGAGGCTCCCACTGAGCTAAGAGCTGCCCCACAGTTCGCACACAGCAGTCTATAGTGCTATGTAAAATCCTGACAGTCTAGACCTGTCAAGAAAGCACATCTTGAAGTTGCTACAGCAGGAATGACGATGCACAATATAACATGTGCAATAACAATATTTGTGTGATATTTCAGTATGTTTCATTTGATACAGTAAATTATAGGAAGAAAATTGACTATATCCAAAGCATATGTCTTTACTGTGTGCGGGTTTTCATCTCCACAAAACTGACTTTTATTTGGTCTGGACGAGGGGTTCTTCCTTCTTTTTTCCATAGAAATGTTGGCTATAATATTCTGCTGTATGGCATAAAACTCCGATATCTCCATGAAGAATGTTCCGAAGTATAGTTTTAACTTTCTATTTCCATGGAGTCAGGCACTTCTCAAAAGTTGCACACACATACTAAACTAAACTTACTAAAGTCAACATTTAATCAAAACTAAACCTCCATCAGTTATTTATTTTGATCGTTTTTGCATCAACACATTTTGTTTCATGTATTACAGTTTTATTGCATTAAATTATGATGTGTAACGTAAACAAGTCTTTTCTCTGAGGGGAAGTTGCAAATATTAACCATAATTTCTTGTTATGAACCTTCCTTACAACATCATATTAAAGATTAACTAAATGATCCTAGAGGGGCAAAAAGGTGTTTACACATTACAGTTAAAAATTCACGCTACAGGGAAATAAAGGCCCTGTGCTACAAATGGTGCATAATGTATTAAATGGCTAATTGATTCATGGAGACGTGCCCTTTGAAGACTTCTCAGGTTAAGAGCAGGGCTTTTAGGATCCTGTGGCAGCGCTGTCCGTGTGCCCGCTGAGCCCCAGAGGTGACTGATGGGGCTCGCCAAAACTACACAGTTCCCACACAATTCTTCAGACCATCCAATGGAAAAGAGAGCCATGCTAGCACTACAGTAGTTTAAGATTACCAAGAGAATCCACTGTGTACATATCTGCTGTTTGTTCTACGGGCGGGATAAGGTCAGAATTCAGTGAGGACCTACTGCACCTAATGAAACAAACTAATGAAACCATAAAAAATATCTAGTAAAATCCATTTGGTATTGCTAGAGTATAGAGAAATTGTACAGTTCTAAAAGTGTAGAACTTTTTAGTATTTTTTGGAGATTAGGGTTGTCAAAAAAATTGATGCATAGATACTAATCAATACTAAAAGTAAATACTCATTTGATTTGAACAGTTACCAATATGGAATTATACTCCATAGTGTTAGAATGGTCTTGGAATATACAAAATATAAAAATACAAAAACTACTATAATTCTGAGTTGTAAATTAGATTCTATTGTATATTATTATTATATTATTATTCAGTGTATCGGAATATTGAGTACTAAGCCTTATCATTTCAAAATTTTAGCTCTATGACAATACTGTTTGAGACAGTACTAAAAGCATGGGTTTTTGGCTAGAGTTAATTGCCGTCTGCCATCATGTTCAAATTGGTAAAGTGTCTTGCCTGAGGACACAACAGCAGTATGGAATTGTTAGTAACAAGGTCCAATAATAAGGATTGGAGGTCTGTACTTTGGAGACTGATGGTTTTGATTGATTCAGTCAGATATTAAAGATCTACTTTGCTGCAAATTTTTTTGACCAAATAGTTTTTTATGTTTTAAACTACTCAACCAACAAAATAATCCTATATTTGTCCAATGAGGTTCATTTGGTCTTCCAATAATTTATGCTATTAGTTTCTTTCTTGAGACCAAGAGTTTGATTTCATACCTGACAGTTTTGACTGCTCACACTAGCAACCTTCCTCAGAGTGGTCACGTTGCTGTGACGTGTCCGGTCAGCTGATTTAAACAGGTTTTGGTGCCGTCTTCCAGCCGGAGCAGGCAGAAAGACAGCGCCATCTGCAGTCTGACTTCCTCAAAACAGTATCCCAGTGTGAGAGAGTAAAAAAGCCTCCATGTCCCGGTTTATAGTCCTGAGGAAATCAGACCTGAAGGAAATCTGGCCTGAAGAAATAACCTAATAGCATAAATTATTGGAAGACCAAATAAACCTCATTGGACAAATATAGGATATTTAAATGTATAATATTACATGAAATTGACTCTTGTGAACTTTTAGTCATGTTAGAATGTTGTTTTCTCATCAAAACTTAGCCTCACCATGCAGGGTTTGTGTGTTAATTTGTTTGTGTGAATGAAACAAAACACAACTCCAGGTGTGTTTGTGACGAGGAAACAACATTGTAACATAGATCAGAAAATAGCGTGATATGGGCCCTTTAGATACACTTTAGCAGCGCTGTCCTGGAATGCCTCAGATCCATTACAGTCGAGTCATACTCTCACTGTTACGCTTGTTAGTCTGTGGTTACATAAGCGTGGTGTTAAACGAGCTACTATTCTAATGAGTCGCTAATTGGCACATCTGTTAGCATGTGGCACAGGCGGGCTGAGGGGACGTCTGCCACGCTTCACATCTGCTCATTGTTACAAACAGGTAGCAGATGCACTGTGCTCCATGAGGCCATGCCAATTAAAGCCGGAGCGCCAAACTAGAGGCAAGGGCAGCCAGGAGAGAGCTCTGCCCCGGGGCTATACACCAACTACAGGAGCACGTGGGAGTGAGAGATGGTCCCTGCAGCCACGAGTATTCCCAGTATGAAAACATATTCCTTATTTAGGTTTAATTATGGGTAGTAGCTGAGAGATTTGGGGAAAATACTGTATGTAACTGCCTAAGTGTGATCAGATTTGCGTTTATGTTTTAAAGGGCCTGTATTACACAATTTTTTGATTTCCATTATAATGTTGTTTCCTCATCATGAACATACTTGGAGTTGTGTTTTGTTTCATTCACACATGTTTAACACACTAATCCTGCATATTTAGGCTGAATTCTGCTTTAAAACAGACCTACAGGAAGTGCTCCACTGTGTTTTTTTTTTTGAAAAATCATGTACCTTCATCAACAGTTCAAAGATCGAATAACACAAGATATGATGAAATACATCAATTTATTTACATGATTTGCAGGTCTTTGAATTTTGGGAAATCATTTTTGTTCCATGTTGCATACATGGTCTGTTTAAAACGTATGTAACTTTAGAACCAAAAATCGTACAGAAAAAAGGTAAACAGTTGCATAAACTAGAGTACATATGCTATCTGTTGAATAAATTTTTATATCAGATGCATTAACTTGAATTTTTGGCCTTGCTGCATACTTCTGCTTGACCGGGCCCTTTTGCTTAAATATTGAATCCAGAACAAGCAAAATATAAAATAATAACAACATTTTAAATAAATATTGTCTCTATAGCCTATCTGTAGCCGGCGGGCAGCTCTAATACATATTTGAAATGATTTCGCGGGCCAAATATAATTATATCGCGGGCCAAATTTGGCCCCCGGGCCTGAGTTTGACAGGCATGATTTAAGCCCTGGAAATACTTATCTCTACTGAACTAATGGTAAAAGGTAGCTGTTAACTTACTACTTCAGAATGACATCACAAGGTGGAACAGAGCATTTTGAGCATTTAGAGATGTGAACAGACTAATAATAAAGGGTTTCTTAAACATGTGAATGAAAAAAACATAACTTCGGGTAGGTTTTTGATGAAGTAACACTATTCTAACATGGCATAGCTCACAGGACTCAATTATTTTGTATAATATAGGTTAGCAGATTTTTTGCTGAATAAAACAGAATACGTTGTTAATCTAAAAACTTCTTTTGTACATTACATTAATAGAATGTTGTTGTTTGTGGAGGAAATTATGGTACTTCAAAAACTACAGCCTGCACAATTTGCTAACCGTCCATTCAAATTGTGATTTTGATTCAATTGAGATGAATCTTGTTGACGTGGTTTGGTTCTGTTGTAGTCCTAGTTTAGTTCAGCTCTAGTATTGATTTATTTCCAAGTTTAGTCCTGGTTTAGTCTGTGTTTTGATGTGGTGTGTGCATAATTGCGAATGAGTCAGCATTTTGTGGGATTCTTTGGTTGTGTAAAATTGTTCTTCTTCACATTCACATTTTGTAAGCAGACATACTGACTTTGGGTGCCATTATATGTTCTTTTTGGCCCCTGTGCTGTGTCAGATGGTCGACACTAACCCTGATAGGACCTGGGCCTGTTCACTGAGGAGGAAGAGATAATGCCAACCCAGGCTTGTCTTTCCATGCCTCATCGCTCAGCTCCAGAACACATGGTTGATTCAAAACTAAACTGTATGTAATCATTGACGACGAGGAAGTTAAAATACTGCTGAGTGCGATTATTTTAAGTATTTACACAGAATTATTTATATGCTGCGTTACACATGTTTTGCGCAGATATTACTGGTGTCAAATAATTTGGCAATTTTTTGCTTGAGTTTTAAAATGTTAGAATATGGGATAATGTGGTTCTCCTGTATGGTCTAAGACAGTGTTTCTCAAACTGTAGTACGTGTGCCACTGCTTGTACGTGATCTCCTTCAGGTGGTACTTGTACAGCTCTTCAGCTTGTGGGTTTGCCCAATTTTCTGGAGTTAATTGTTTCAAATTTTTTGTTCACCTTTGAATAATTTCTTGTTTAGAACTAGAGCGGAAATGATATAACCTGCTTTTAGACCTGGTATCGGATATATTTGATGGAACTGATATCGAATTCCAAACATCGGTTCAGTAAATTAATGTAATAAGTAGGGATGTAACAATAACCGAAATATTGTGATATTGTATCGTCAAAGTTCTCACAATAATATCGTGGACCATCACAATACATCGAATTACAAGTCCCTTCGCTTAAATTAAAGTTATGGTGCAGCAATAGCTAAAAAAAAAAAAAAAAAAACAGAGAGAACTACATAGACCATGATCCTTTGCTTCATTTCAGTGCAGGCTACATGAAGAAATAACAGTTTTAAGCACTTTTAATCTTAGTTCTTTGTATTAAGTCTTGTCAAGGCATTTTAAGAGGAAAAAGTAGCATATTAACAGTTTTAGCTGTTTAGCCTCAACAAAATATATATTGTGAAAATATTGTACTGAGAGATTTGGATATTGTTACATCCCTAATCGTGAGCTTTCCCACAATATCGCAATAAATATTGTACCGTGACATTCATACTGTGACTATATCGTATTGTGAGATTTGGATATCATTATACCCCTAATAATAAGATGGTTTACTGGTCGTAGTTGACCCAGAAAGTCTTGTAATGTTTGAACTTTGAGCTGTTCTGTAATTATGATTCTAATTATGCCCTTATGAAAACTGTGTATGGTGGAAACATATTGGTTTGGGCCATTTAAAAAGAACTTTTAACTTGCACCTTCTGTAACCTTACTTTTCTGGAGTGCCTGGATTTCTTTTTTTTTTTTTTTTTTCAAGTTTTGATCTTTGTTTTCCAAGAGCGCCCTCTACCTGTTTTCACTGTTGGCAACACCTGTATCAAGCCACATCTTTGTTCTGTACTGCTCTATAGGTACTTCAGAGATCAATAACGGCAACATAACACATTTGAAGCGGTCCTTATTTTTGTTTAGAGAGAGAGGTACTTTGAAATTAAAGGAAATAAATGTTGTTTTCAGTCTCTTCACTCGATAGATATATGGGGTTGACAGATATTTCAAGGCATAGTATCGAAATCGGTATTGGAAAGATCCCTAGTTTCGTCCTAGATCTGGAATAGTCCCGTTATTTGATTTAGTTATGGTGATACTTGGAAAACCAGATTTTTTCTTTGGTGGTACTTTGGTGTGAGAAGTTTGAGAGCCACTGGTTTTGTAAATATGATGAAATAATCGGTCCATCAATCAATCAAGCTTTATTTATAGAGCATTTTATAACACTCAAGGTGACCAACGCAATATAAAAACATGCAAAACATTGAAAAATAACATAAAACAAATTGGGCAAATTGTCACTGCATTACTGAGTGTTAAAACAAGTCATACATTTTGAGCCTGGATTTAAACAGGCCAAACTCTGTGATGGTGCTCAAATCAGGGGCAGTTTGTTCCAGAGTCTGGGGCCAGCGACAGAGAAAGCCCGATCACCACATTGTTTGTTTTATCTTCTAATCTAATTTGTATTTTTTCAGTTAACAAACAAACCCACCCCTTCCTAAGAACGATGATTAACCAACCATACCCAAGCCAATCAGTACAGGCATCTTACACAAAAAACATCCCCTGTAAGTCATCAGTGGTGGAGGATGAAGTACTTAGTTTTGTTACTTAAGTAAAAGTACAGATACAGGGGCAAAAGTTACTCAAGTAAAAGTATCACATGAAAAAATCTACTTAAATTATTTTGCAGAGGTTTTTAGAACAATTAAAGGATGAAATGTAGTGATTTTGATAAAGAATTTTGTGGATTTTTTGTGATTGAATTTATTTCTTATTTTTTCTAGTTGTTTTGTGTATTCCTCAAAGTTGTGACAGAAACTCAAATTAAATGTGCTTAAAATAAGTCTCGGTAGAAGTAGAGAGTACAGATACCTGCTCTCAAATGTAATTAAGTAAAAGTAAAGAGTATCCACTGTAAAATTGACTTAAGATACCTAAAATTTGTACTTAATTCTTGTACTTTTACTTTTGTACTCTTTTACTTTCCACCACGTGTTATTGGTGAGTCATCGGGTTTATAGCCCCACATTGGTGAGAAATACCGGGCCGTGGAGGTGACAGGAGTCCGCTGGATAATTAGTTCTTGCTCATCCACTTTTTGCCTGGGAGACAACATTGTGTGAATCTGCTTTGGGCCATTCTCAGCTGTGACAATAATTCTACAGAGACGGCTGAATGGGTCAGACAAGTCATGTTATAACACTTTTCATCTCATTAGTAGGTATGGGACGATATAGAAATATGGTGTCACAGTGATCATGGCCAAGATGATTGCGATTAACGATTATATCACGATAATTGTGAAATGAAAGTTGCTGACAGTTCAAAAATGTTATGGATATGAATAATGATAATTTGAATATTACCAATACGTTCCATATTTAAACAAGTGTTATAGTGTTGTACTTTGTTTGTGAAAGTGAAAAGTTACATAGACAACAAATGTATAATAACATTTTAATTTGTTGTAAAATTAAAATAAATAGTATATAAATATATTAACATAATCATAATAAATAAATTATATAACCATTGCATTGCATTTTAAAACTTCCAGACTAGTTTATGTCATCTATGAGTTAGATTAGTGGTAGAACCATCTTCAAACCATATACAAAAGGAAATGTTAAGAAGTGTGCTCCGCATCAAAGAAAAATAACAACAAAACAACTGAAATCTTATGAGAACTTGTACAGTACTCTTGACTAAATGTACTTTATGAATGTGAATGTGTCAACTTTATTTATACATTTTTATACATTTTTATTTCAATTACTTTATTATTTTATTTTTATTTTTATTTATTTTATTTTTTTTTACATATATTATGACTTTATTTTATGACTTTTACCTTAAGGGAAGCAGTTGCATGTGTATGTCAGATCTGGTGATTGCAAAGCAAACATGTGTCTTTTTCAGGTAAACATTCTGGTGGACACAGGCAGCAGTAACTTTGCTGTGGCGGCGGCGGCACACCCTTTGATCACTCACTACTTCGACACTGCACTGTGAGTACACACACTTACTAATACTGTTATGGCCACAGGCATTTTTGGCTAAAAGATATTGTAGTTGAAAAGGTTAAAATAGTCCTGTGGTGCTTTGTTAAAAATGTTAAACTACTCTTCAGCACCTTATCTTATTTAAAATGTTTGTTAATACTAAAACATAATACTGCATGCATAGAAAAGAAGGGAAAAATAATCTAGACAATATGTTTATTTGACTCAAACCAAAGGGTAGTAGTGGGTGCAAGAACTCTGCCTGTAATTGCAATATTGAATGCTTAAGTGGGCATCTTAATCTTCTAGGCCAGTGATTCCCAACCTGGAACCAAATGTGTGCATGTCCCAAAGATTCTCAGGGAGCCCTAATAGCAAGCTAACTGTAATAAAGGGATGTCATGATAACTGCTTAGTAATTTATAATGATAACTGCTCTATAACTTCTGTATCAACCATAAAACAATAATATTTTTCCTTACTTCTCAGCGCATCACTGGATATAAAATGTTGGGAGGCACTGCTAGGCTTATTTGTGTATGTGACCAGTCTCCAAAAGCTCCATCCAAAATGTTAATACAACTTAATTTTTCTCCACCCTGTGTAGGTCCAGTACATATGTGTCAACAGGTCGAACAGTGGGAGTGCGGTACACCCAAGGAAACTGGGAGGGTGAGCTGGGGATTGACCATGTGTCTATTCCCAAAGGCCCCAACGGAACAATCACCATCAACATAGCAGCCATCTTATCATCTGACGGCTTCTTCCTCCCCGGGATCAACTGGCAGGGTATACTGGGTCTGGCCTACCCCTTGCTAGCTCGAGTAAGAAAAACTACCAAGCAGGAGACACAGCGACACATAATAAAATAAATATAGTACAATTTGAAGGGTGCACAGAGAACAACCAACTTCGGTGATAGTGTCATGATCTTATCGGCTGTCAGTGCTCCAGATCTGAGCACACAGCTCAGCTCATAAAGAGTGGCTTATCAGAGCCGAGTCATGGACATTTCACATGACAACAGAAAGGATCCGTGTTTATGATTTATTTTCATTACCAAACACTTTAATGCTTGTCATTTGTTTTCTTAAATCAATCATTCAGTCTTAAAGGGAAGTAAGGTTAAAGAGTTCAAACTGCAAAAAGCAAACTCAACGTGAGATGGCTATGGAGCATATTTAAGATCCATATAATATTTTGGTTATGATAGTTTGCTATTGAAAGGTGATGTGAGCACAAAGTTGAAAAAGCAGCCTTTGAGCTGGTTATGTCAGTAGAACTTTTAATATGAAATGCCAGTGAAGGATTGATACTCCCACACAGAGCTCTCCTGTGTGAACAGGTTTAACTGACTCTCTGTGTTGGATTCAATCAGAGATCAGAGGAGGGAAAAGACAGAGGATGTAGTTTAGTTCAGTCAGTTGCATAGCAGTTATGTTCCCCAGTGTCTGACACTCTCATGGCCATTCTGTATATGGTGCAGTCAATTTATAGATTAACCCATATGGCCTTTTTCTTGGCCATTACCAATACTCATTTAAAATCCCAATTTTTTACCCAAATTATCTAATTTGCATTTAGTATAAGTCTCATCCACAGCCTTGTTACAAATAGTATAAGGAAATTAAAGTGTTCAAATAAAGCTTATACATATGTTATGCATAGCTTGGCAGCTGTCTGAGCCAAATAAAATATCAGTTTAGATTACCAATACACTAAGTGGAAATACTGGCTCGAGATATTGGTCTATCTCTAAATCATCATAGTCATAGTAAATGTGTGTGAGCCAATGGCACAACTTACTACAAAATGTAAATTTTCATCTAATTTCTTTTGCAAACAGCAAAGTGTGCTTTGTTCCACTTGATTCTGATCTTGAGTGTGTTGAAATCCAACTGTAAATCTACCTATGCATCACACATACTTACACACCACTTTTAAAATGTCTTTTTATCTGAGTGTTACATATTACATATTATAAAACAATGCCTTTATTCATTTTCATTCATTTAAACCATGTCAAGTCCAAGTCACTTCATTCACTACATCAGACTGTCTAATGTGTCATGTCTGATGTGTCCTCAGCCTGACTCATCAGTGGAGCCCTTCTTTAACTCGGTGGTCAAACAGCTGGGGATTCCTGACGTCTTCTCCCTGCAGATGTGTGGGACTGGACTGTCAGCCAGCAGCTCTGCAGAGCAGAGAGGCGGAAGTCTAGTGAGTATTTACACTATTGAATTAGTTTACTGTTTACTATGGGAGTGTTTATAAAAGCATGCTCATGATGAGTGCTGTGGTGGCACAGTATCCTCAACCACACCTACCCTGTGTGGAGTTTGCCCTTGAGTCTGTGTTTGCCTACATGCTCTGGAACCTACCACTAAAACATGTACAAGTGGATCTGTCCTAACAGGGTATGTTCCAGATCATACGTCTTCTTAAGTATTCTAAAAGTGTGGCTTTTAGCTTGGCTGAAATGAATAAAAGCTGTAATGTGTTGTGTGTACTTTGGCAACCTCACAGCACTAGCCGCCGAGCTATACATGTTTCATATCATGTAATTTGATAAAATGAGTTTGTCCAGGATATGATCCTGGTGAGAGCAAGTCTGTTCCCGACATAAGGCCCCTGTGATGCTGGATGGTTACAGTGACACAGGCAGATGGAGATGTTGGCAAGACAGCACTGCACAAGTGCTACTTGGGTGTACTTATTAATAATGAGTTTATAAAAACCTTGTGTTTTTTTCCTCAGATTATGGGGGGGATTGAACCAACTCTGTACCGAGGGGCTGTGTGGTACACACCAATCATAGAGGAGTGGTACTACCAAGTGGAAGTGTTGAAGCTGGAGGTCGGAGACCAAAATCTCGCTCTGGACTGTAAAGAGGTACAGTAGCTCATATTCACTGTTCCCACTGTAAGTGTCAGTGTTAAGATGATTTGATCTCAGTTTTGTTTATGGTCTTTTCTTTTCAGTACAACACGGATAAAGCTATAGTCGACAGTGGGACGACTCTGCTGCGACTGCCTGTCAATGTGTTCACTGCAGTAGTGAATGCCATCACACAGAGCTCTTTGGTATGGTCATATCTACTGGCTAACAACACAATATTATATTTCTATAGAATGCTTGTGTAACTCATGAAGATTATCTGATCTTTTTTAGATCCAAGACTTTTCTACAGGTTTCTGGGATGGTACAAAACTAGCCTGCTGGATGAAAGGTGAAACACCATGGAGGTTTTTTCCCAATTTGTCCATCTACCTAAGGGCCACAAACACAAGTCAATCCTTCCGCATCACCATCCTGCCCCAGGTACTCTCACATAATTCATTACCAACATATTCAGACAGGAATCTTTCAGAAACAGTGCAAAAATATGAATGACCTGAAACTATAAACTGTGTGTGTAGTTGTACATCCAGCCAGTCACAGACGTCGATGGCACTCTTGACTGCTTCCGCTTTGGGGTGTCGTCTTCGGCAAATGGCCTGGTGATTGGGGCAACTGTGATGGAGGGCTTCTATGTGGTGTTCGACCGTGCCCAGAGGAGACTAGGCTTTGCACTTAGCAACTGTGCAGGTAAGAGTCATTCAGGAAACTGTTTTCTGTAAAATCATACTCTCACAGATTAGGGAAGTTGATATTAGATGACAATACCAAGTCTAGTGTAGTCATGCGGCGACGTCTTACACCACTGCTACTAAACTTCCCCTTGATAAGATCTGTACAGTGGCTCTTCCTTGTTCTTTAATATGAACTGGCCTCTCTATTCTCAAGGACAGAACAAAGATGACTGTTGTTCTCTATCACATAAAGAGGCTTCTGACAGGACTGCCAGCTACAATTGCTATCATGTCAATTCTGGCCCTGCAATTTTATTTGAGTTTAGTTTTGTTTAACATGATTATGTATTTATTTTATTTATTTGGCAGGGACAGTGCACTCAAAATAAGCACTTGCTATAGTCTGTATGCACTGTATCAGTTTTGTTTTGTAACTATGTCTAAATCCCAAATACTTAGCACTGGTATTTGTTACTATTTGAAGTGCAGTGTAAGTAAATCTTTATATAGCTTTTTATTTATAAAATCAAAATTGTAGCCAAACCAAAACACATAATACAAAATGCACCATAACAAATTCACATAAAACCCGTGCTTGTACCACAAGTTAAATACTACAATTTAATGTATTTCTCATATAAATATTAAGGTACATTTTATAGTCCCTGTAGGGAAATTTGTCCCCTGCATTGACTCATCCTTTAAAGCCACTGGAGTAACCTGCTGGAGGCAGTGCTTTCATTTAGTTCATTTTTGTTACAATAGCTGTTATGATGCCTGGTTTAACTCTTGATCATTCACATTCTCCTGTTGTGTCCTTGGGCAAAACACTTCAACCCTTTCCCCACTCCAAGGACAGTACAATGCCTCGTTATTATCCCATGCAACTAGTGGTTTGCTTTGATATTCTCAATTCACTCATTGAAACAAAACATGATGAAACTAGACAATTGCATTAGATTTTAATGTAACCCGGTTGATATTCAGACCCCATACACATTATATTTATATATGTATTTATTTATATATATATGTTGTATTTTACAGTGAGTGGAGGAGTGGCCCTCTCAGAAGTAGCTGGGCCCTTCTCTGCAGCAGACGTGGCAGGTGACTGCTCCACGCGGATGTTCAAGGAGTCCATCATGTGGGTGGTGTCCTACGCTCTGATGGCCGTCTGTGCCCTGGTCCTCATCATTCTACTGCTGCTGCTGGTGCTACCGTACAGACGCAGGCACCGCTCTGGTGAAATCACAGACGAATCCTCGCTCGTTCGAAACCGCATCAAGTGACTGAGAGGGAATGTGCAAGCCAACAAGGTGAGCAGGGACATGTGCACTGAGCAAAGCACGACCGAATCAGTGGAAAAAGGCATTAGCCAAAGTCCACAGCAATCTGGTCCCACAGACTCAAAACTGCACACGACCACTCGTCCCACAGAGGTACATGTAGAGACTTGTGCTGCCTCTTAAAGGGAAACGTCACCCTGAAATTCTCCTGCACTCTTCAAACGTTTGTGAGTCAAGTTTGAAATGCAGATTGTGGTGTAATTACTTTGTAACTGATAATAAATGTTTTGGTCAATTTGTGTATATGCTCGTATATCTGACATCAAACAGCGCTCTCTGTAAAAATGGTATTGTCACCGTTAACATTATGATACTTTGTTTTGAACAAATGTCCACCACAGTTCTTTTAATTGTAATCATTGTACATATTCATTTACATCAGTTAAATAGTTTTGCAAAATACATTTTTGAATTTCAATATTAATTAGCTGATCACAGTTGATATTTCTGCCACACCCTAATTAGCCTAATTAGTTTGTTCTTCCAACCATTATAATTTATTTCAACCTAAAACAAATCAAACATGATAAACATTTATATTTGCCAGCTCCTAGGAACTCAGTACACTACTGTATTACAAATAAGTTTTGATTTCTGGTGTCCTAAATAGATATTAATGTGTGAAATCTGATCAATAGCACTTAACAGTGCTTTAAGTGCCTTCCCTCTGTTGATGCAAAAAGATTTTTTGGCAGCAGTAAGAATCTAAACTGCACTTTTTCATGATCAAATCACATGCTACTACTGCTATATTTAAATGTATATTTTTTTTCTGAATAGCCACATATTGTAATTGTACTGTAGATATCTGTGTATAAAATAATAGGCCTACCGTGGAATCAAAAACAAATTGCTTATTATTGCTTTAAATTGTTGCTTGAGAGTACACTTGAATCTTTAAATGTGTAATTATTTAAATATATTCTGTGCTTGTAATGTTTGTAAAAATGTGACCACATAGAAGTGATACTGAAGCAGGTTGTTTTTAACACGGTGAGTGCATGGCGGCATCTGGTGGAACAAAATGCAATTGCAATATCATGCCTTAGAGGCACAAATTAACATTATCCTTTGGGTATTTCTGTACTGTAAACAATAAAACCTCCTACAGGCAATAGAATGTCGGTGTTTTAAGTGGCTGGTGACACGCAACAACATATTTACAGCACAGCAGAATTTGTGAGCAAAGTTAAAAGCAAAGTCCAGTTTGATCCTGATGAGACAATGGTTTCCTTTGATGGGACCCTCTTTTCACTTGTATCCCTACATCAGGATTGGTGGAGGCAGCAAAGAGGACACTACTGCAGGAAACTAAGCTAGAGAACTAAACATTCACCTGACCGAAGCTACCAGCTGCTGGAAATTTGATTCATTCTGTCAAATGGACAAAGTTTAAATTTCTCCTTTACTATGGATCCTACCTGCACAACTGAGGGATTACACAAATGTTTTAAGATGAATAGTGTGACCTATTACAGGCCTGTATCATTTATTTCATCACTAATAATAGACACAGAATAACAAAAATTAATGCACATATGGTCAGTCATTTTATTTTTCAATATATATTTGAATAAATAATACACATAAATAATTCTCAATGTCAACACTGTATTAGGTTTAGTTCTTTACTTGAATTAGTCATTCTGATGTTTCTGTAAGAGAAAATAAAACAATGTTTGTTTTTTTTTATATGTAATAGTATAAAATATTAAAATATACTGTTATGTACCTTCATCTGAGAGTAGATCCAGTCCAAGTAGAAAGTGACGTTGGCGTAAACATCTGGTTTATAGTCTTCAGTGCAGTGTCTCCCCCAAAGATTGTCACCTAGCAACCACCATCTCCCATCCAACAAGGACATGAGGGGCCCACCACTGTCCGTCTGTGACAAACAAAAGTGTTTTATTTCATTTATAATCTCATTAGGGGTTCAACTATTTGAAACTATATGAGACTGAAATTGACGAGACAGTGTAGTAGACAATGGGCACAGATCTGACAGAACACTTGACCTGATTGAAGAGTAAATATGTTGAAAAAGTACTTTTGAAACAGAAAGTACATTGTCTCCATGTTAAATCATCCCTATATTACTACACTTTTGCAGATTTAGAGATTTTTTCCATTGAATTTTTGTTTATTGTGTGCCTATCCACCTCAGACATAGACTGCTTTAAGAGCATAAATAAACGTCTGCTCCCTTTGTGCAAATACATTACACATCTGCACAATGCCTTTATCAGTATTTACACAGAGGGAGGAGGTAGAATATTCAGTGGGAGTTAGTGTGTCTCACCAGGCAGCGGTCTGTGGCAGTGTCCTTCTCACTGGCACACATCATGTGCTCTGTCACTAGGCCATTGTAGTCAAAGGAGCACTCTGCACTGTCCACAAGGGAAACCTGGCCTTCTAATAGACTCAGTATATCTGCACAGCAAATTCAAAAGTGTTAAATTAAGTGTTGTGGTGAGTAAAGTGAAGAAAATCCAGATATGTTTCAACATAGTAAAGAGTTATTTCAACTATGACAGTGCTGTAGAGTAAAATAAGTAGTTGTTGATTCACAGTGTTAACGTCAAACACTTATATTTTGAATATTACACTACATCAGTGTTGGACTTTTGTAACGTTTCCAGCGGGAGAGCTACAGTCCGAGAGAAAAGCCACATTTCACCGTCGGAAGCTAAGTTAAGCTAAGAGCTAATAGTGTTTCTTTTTCAGCAGAACCTGAACTCAATGAGCCTCAAGTCCAACCACCTGAGCTCTCACATGCCCCGGGTCAGATTACTTTACCTTTTTAGGACACTCTGCAGTTAATTTAATTCATAAAAATACTAAATATATTTGGTCTAATGCTAGTAGTAGTAAGCTAAATAACTTAGCAGTGACAGTCAATGGTACCGTCACTGATGTTCATAAAAATTGGGTAAAATATCCACAAATTGTACTAAATTAAGAGTATCGTTACTTCAAGAAAATATTTCTCAAGTCTAAATAAAAAGTAGAAGTTCAAAAATGTGTTAACTAGTTAAAAGTATTCGGGGAAACTACTCCTCAAGTAACTTAAGTTATAAGTAACTGGACGAAAATTCAGATTTATCATTTATTGCAGGACAAAGGTTTTTTATGTCATCGTTGACCTGGCTGAATTTGGTGAACACTTCAAGGCATTTGGTCTTTAGACTCTCATAAACTTTACACCTGTATTCAAAGAACTGTCTACAACATGGACGTTGGATGTGTCAAAAGAAACCTCAAGAGTGAAAGACTGACTCTTGAGGTAAAAAGTTTCTGCAGTGTTAATGTTTCATAATTAGCAGGACTGTCTCTGTTGTGAACATTGTTATGTTTATATAATGGAGAGAAGATCTTGTTTCAAACAGTCAGACATGCTCCTCTCATTTTTGGAGATGAGCCTGAATTCCATTCAAAACAAGATCTTGATTGGACACAGAGAATTCCTGCTGTCAGTTGGATTTTGCAAAAATAATATTGTGTCATATGACTTGTTTAAATTGTGTTGATTGTATGATGTGCATTGTTTTAATATAAGTTAAGTTGAAATAGTATTTTGTGGTGGTTTTCATTGTTTTACATTTGTAAAAGGGATTATGAACTAGAATGACCACACAGCAGTTACACTGTATTTAGTGAAGAAAGAGTTACTATTGAATAGTGTAACATGAAAAACACTCTACACCATTTCTACTTCATAAAGTGTTAACTTTAAAGTGTTAAAATATAGCAATATAGAGTTATTAGTTTTTCACCATACACTAGTGTAAAAAAAAAAAAAATCTTAATCAGTGTCAAATTCAGTGAGGAGTGTGGTTACATTACTTTACCAGTGTTGAGCCTTCTACACTTTGGAAAGTGTAGTTTTAACTCATTTTATTGTGGACCCCATATGACATGGTAATAGTGTTAAAATTAACAATACACAAGTTGAATTAACACACTCGAATTTGCTTTACAGGAGAAGAAAAACAGTGAGTTCAATCTCACTGAATTCATATGGAAAACGTAGAAAGTATAAGTTGTAAAATAAAAAATACAGATCATCACTTCAATTTAAAATAAAAATTATACAGTGCTTGTTTTTGGGTTGGGATCTTACCGCCATTTAAGTTGTAACCAAACTTCGTTATCCAGAATGAGTGTGAATCAGCAAAACTTAGGCCCACAGTGGGGAGGCATATAGGTCGAATATTACTGGAACCTGTGAGTATAAAATTTAGGAAAAATTATTAAATGCTGACCAAAAAAATAATGCAGGATTTACAAACAGTTTATTTAGTTTATAGCCAGAATCACCTGCCATGTCCAGAGGATTAGCCAACCTCATGAGAGCGATGTCGTTTTGCTGTGTGATGGGATCATAGTCCTGGTGGGGGAGGATGGAGCTCACACTGTGCACTGGGGTGAACAGAGTGTCTAAGTCTCCCACTATTCCAGCATACACCTGCCAGCTCTGTGGGGAGGGCTCCCTGCAGACCGTAGATACACAAGAACTGAGCCTGAGCCAGTTACACAATAACTGTTTAATTTTGTTTCTTTAGCTGCTTTACCCCATGTACTCAAGCAATTTTGTCATTATCAGTGGTAGGCATAATTTTTCTATCTGTGTGAAAATAAATGTATTCATAAGATACATATCTATGTCAAATGTAATAATCACAGTTAGCAGTGTATTTTTTAAATGAATAAAACAACTTGAAAATCTACTATTCCACTGAGCCAGAAAAAATAATAATATAATATATAATCATCATCGATAATATAATCACAGTTTCCCTATAATTTATTTATTTATTTATTTTTACAACCTTACCAGCAAAATTTGATGACATTTTAAATAAAAAATTTATTAATAATCCCAAAATTGTCAACAAATTAATCAGCAGTAATCCTTTTGTAACTTCAATTGACTATTTGCAGTATTTTCTACATTCCAGTTTGTGGCATCTCCTCCATCTCCTAATATTCTCTGTATGATATCCTTAAGAGTTTTAACTAAACCTAAGCCAAATGTAGTAATCACAGTTTGCAATGTGTTTTTTAAACAATGAAACAATTTGAAAATCTACTATTCTACTGAGCTAATAAAAATAATAATATATATAATTATCATCAATACTAGTAGGCTAATACTACTAGGCTATGTACCGTATTTTCCGTACTATAGGGCACTCTGGATTATAAGGCGCAGTGTCATTGAATGGACTATTTTGGAACTTTTATCACATATAAACCGAACTATAAGGTGCATCAATCAAAACACAACAGTTAGATAAGTCAGTCATACATTTTTTAGCGCGTTCACAATAACTCTCAACTTTGTTCAATTGTAACGCGTAAAAATATACTGTCTGAGAGCTAAATAGTTAGCGTATTCACAATAACTCATAATTGTTCAAACAGTTGGGCGATTACAGCGTCCAGCACGCCCGCATCCCTCTCTTCATTATCAGAGTCAGTGTCATTACTGTTCCCTGGCAGTTCAGTGATGATTCCAGTCTTGGTGAAAGCTCGGACCACAGTTGATACTGATTTTTAGCCCAGGCATCCATGATCCATTGACAGATCGTGACGTAAGTCGCTCGGCGCCATCTCCCTCTCTTGGTGAATGTGTCTTCACCTTCTCTCATCCACTGCTCCCACACAGCTCGCAGTTTAACTTTATAATAGCCTTGAGTTTAAAGTCGGCGTCGTAAGCGTGTCTCTTGACAGGTGGCCTTTTGATTTAAAAGGAATCACAGTACGTATTATTCCGCGATGCCGTAATGCTGCAAGTGGTGCGGCTTTGTGGTTTACTAAAGTCGTACTAAGACACCCAAATAAATTCATATATATAAGGCGTGCAGTCGTTTTTTGATGAAATTAAAGGCTTTTAAGTGTGCCCTATAGTGCGGAAAATACGGTACTTACTTCAATTGACTATTTGCAAAACTTTCTACGTTTCAATTTGTGGCATCTCCATCTCCTGATAGTGTCAACTAAACCTAAGCCAAATGTAGTAATAGCAGTTAGCAGTGTATTTTTAAACAATGAAACAACTTCTAATCTACTATTCTACTCACCCAATAGAAACAATAAATTGGTTTTGAGTCTAGTGAGCCCCTGTGGCCTCTCACCTGATTACACAGTGCGCTGCTGTGAGTATCCAGTAGGGGGAGATGAGTGCTCCTCCACAGCGGTGAGTGCCTTCTAACTGCAGACTGACCTGCCAGGGCCACGAGCTGGGGGCCGCCTGCTGTCTGCTGCCACTGGAGTTCAGACCAATGCCACAGTCTGAAATAAATGTGTTGAAAAACATTGAAATATCGATATATGGTATAGTTTAATGTAATAATACAGTATCAATATTGTGGGCTGTTGTATCGATATAGTGTAGAATAATTTTTACATATGTATTTTACAAAATTATAGGGGTGTAACAATAACCAAAATATCGTGATATCATATCGTCAAAAGTCTCTCAATAATATCTTGGGCTGTCACAATATATCGAATCACAAGTTCTTTTGCTTAAATTCATTGTTATGGTGCAGCAATAGCTAAAAGAAAACAAAGGGAACTACATAGACCATGATCCTTTGCTCTGTTTTGGTGCAGACTACATGAAGAAATAACAGTTCTAAGCACTTTTTAAATCTTAGTTCTTTGAATTAAGTCTTGTCAAGGCATTTTAAGAGGAAAAAGTAGCATATTCACAATTTTGTTAGCCTCCACAAAATATCACAAAAAATACTATACTGTAAGATGTATATCGTGAAAAGATCGTACTGTGAGATCTGAACATTGTTACATCCCTACTGAAAGAAAGGGCTACAGTTGTGTTGCTTGTTTGGAGAAAGAAAACTTGTTTATGCAATACATTTTCACTGGCCATGTCTCATTTCTCTTTCCTCGCTTCCTTCTCCTTGATTCCTCTCCTCGATTCTCCATTTTTCAGCTGTCAATCAAATGTGTCAGATTAAGTGTCCAAAGAAAACCGCAGTAAACATGAGGGAGGCTTCAGAAACAGACATCAGATAAAAGAATCAAACTTTATTGGTCTCAGTGAGGAGTTTATATCCTCTCACCTCCTTGTGTCTTCTCTGTGGGCGGGACTTCCTCACCCATTTCCTGCAGAATCAAGGAGAAGGGAGCGAGGAAAGAGAAATGAGATGCGGCTAGTGTTTTGATGAGAAAATGGGTGTTTTTCATATTAACTTTGCACAAACTTAGTGGTTTAATAAAGACTTTTAGTATCACGACCATGATTTACTCTTTGTTTTTTACTGAACCGCATTGAAACTATTTCAAATATATCATATTGGCTTATGTTAAATTGAAAGTACACTGTATCAAAAACGTATCGTGGCCTATGTATCACGGCAGCTTTTTAATGATACCCAGCCCTAGTCTAAAACAAAACCAGAGCAAGTGTATGTTGATTATGTCTAATGTTCTAATGTTCTTTGGATGTGTTAAAGCCATAGACCTACCTGTACAATACAAGGTCACCACACTGTTGTTGGGACAGGTATCACTGCAAATTCAGAGCACATTTTTGATTATTTTATATTTATTTATTAATAAGGATGTAACAATAACCGAAATATCAGTATATCATAAAAAGTAATATTGTTGGCTATCACATTATATATAAAATTACAAGTTTCTTTTTTTAAAATTCATTGTTTTGGTGCAGCAACCGCTAAAAAAGAGAGGGAACTACATAGACCATGATCCTTTGCTGCTGTTTCAGTCCAATTTACATGATGAAATCACTGATATATACTGGATTATGACAGAAAAGAAGCATATTCACTATTTTGGTAACCTCCATAAAATATCGCAATAAATATCATACCGTGAGATGCATATCGTGAAAATATCGTATCGAGAGATTTGGATATCGTTACATGCCTATTTATAAATTTATACTGTTGCCTTTACAGTCACACTGAATGTTTACTAACCTCTGAATAAGCTGTTTTACAATGAAAGTGTCAGGTTTAATATCAGCCTTCACAACCAGAAATCCGTCACTGCTGTTTGATATCTGCTGATCTGACTTATAGTACGTGCTCCTGTTGAAAAAATTAAATCATTTAAACATTACATTAAAGGTGTATTGTGTAACTTTTCTGGTGGAGGGTCAGTCAAATGCTTTTGTTCATGGAGATGTAATTGCTTTGTCTGGAATGTTTTTTAGACTTAGACTTAGACAAAATTTATTGATCCAAAAGGGGAACTCACAGTGGGATTAAACCTTTCTATCTTCATGGAGACCAAACCAGACCAAGTTACAGGTCAGATCTGTGGAAAGGCAACCACACTCACAGTCAGACTGCTTGTTTTTCTCTGTATTTTTGAGCTGTAGTAAATGCAAGGTAGAGCTGTTTAATGTCATATTGTGAACCTCTCAGAGCAGCGCACTGACATATTCATAGAAACATGAAGGTGACGGACCTCTAACTCAGAAAAGTTACACAGTGCACCTTTAAATAAACCATAAATCCACAGAAATATATGGGACAAATAGGCATCTTACTTGCTGAATCCCATCTGCAGGCAGCTGGCTCCGCCCTGCAGATCTGTCCAGCCGTGAGCGCACACCGACCTCCAGCTCTGACTCTGAGGGCTGTAGATCTGAAGGAGGAAATCTGACCCATGCACCCGCACTGCGCACACAAACCAGCATATTGATTTGGCATTATGGGGATGGCATAAGGTGACGCCAGCTAGAATAGGTTTTAGGACTCCTGATGCAAGCTAAAAAGTGCAAATAAAAACACGAAGAAGACTGCTAGTTTTAAGTGTTTTATTACAAATGTTCTCAAAAATAAATTTTACAAAAGCCACCTCTGTTTATGGCATGGAGGAATCAAAATTTATGTTTATGATTAATAAACAATCAAACTAGTTAATATGACATTAACTGTAAATGCAATGTACAAATCATATCAAAAAGAAAAAAAAAACAACTACTAAGCTAGAATGAAAATCCCTAACCCAAAGTCTACTGGCCAAAAGAAACAGTATGTGGCCTGTTCTCTTACTACGTACAAGTTTTTCTCATTCTTGGGCCTCATTTGAAAGCTCAGAACCTCCAGAATTCACTCTCTGAGCTGCAGAGGCTGCACTAGCACTGATTTGGCTGCAGGTACTTGAGTTTTAATTAGTGAGGATTCACATCAGAGAGTCCTTTTAAGTTTAAAGCAACTGAATTTTAGTGTTGAAACTGGCAACCCAAATGCAAGACTATAGTATAAAGTTGGCCAACATGCAATCCATTGTTCTTGTGATTAAGAATAAATCAGCATTACAGTTGTTATCAGTAAATTATATGCTGATTAATCCAAAAACATTCATTTTGTCTTTTTATGTACATTAACTGCAAATTCAAAGCACATTTTGGATTATTTTATATTGATTTGTTAGTATACACTACCAGTCAAAAGTATTAGAACACCCTAATTTTTCCAGTTATTTATTGCAAGTCCAATGAAAAGCTTGAACTGGTACAAAAGTAAGTCCTGAACAGTCAGAGGTTAAAAAAAAGATAACAAAACACAAGTCCAAGCTCTGTCAAAACTACCTCAGGAAAAAAGAACAAGATGGTAAACTTGAAAACATGGAGTGTCTCTATACAGTCCCTATACTTAAACCCCATTGAGCTGGTTTTGGGATGAACTGGAAAGAAGAGTGAAAGCCAAGCAACCTACAAGTGCCACACATTTATGGGAACTTCTGCAACAGACTTGGGAAGAACTTTCTGAAGATTATTTGATTTCTATTCTAAAAAGAGCGAGCCACGAGTGTGTTCAGCTGTTATATCTGCCAAAGGTGGACACTTTCATGAATCAAAAGTTTAGAATATGTTTTGGTCAACAGTAAACAGTAAAAAAACTGGAAGAAATGTGGTATTCTAAAACGTTTGACCAGTGGTGTAAGTTTTTACCTTTACAATCATGATGAATGTTTAGTAACCTCTGACATAGTGATATTTGATTTGACCATGTTGGGAATATGTGGGAATATCTTTCATTAAAATAGATCATCTTTGTGAAATTTCAAATCAGAATACTATCCATTTAATGTTTTTATGTGACAAAAATATTATAAACTCCATGAACAATTTGAAACTTGATGCTAATTACCACAGTTAGCTTCATCCTGGCCCCCCGGACAGTCTACCACCCCATCACACCACTGGGAGTCCCACACGCAACTGCCATCTCCGCACTGCAGCCCATGAGCACAAGGAGATGACACTGGGGCAAAAACAATATGGCCATTTAGTGTAAAAAAAAGCAAAGTATATGGTAAAAATGGAAGGTAAACAAAGTACTCACAGTAGTAAGCGAGCAGGACGACAATGACGATCAGGAGTAAGAAGAGGCAGCATAGGCTTTTTGTCACCACATTAATGCATTTATCTCTGGCACCTGGAAAAGAAAAATAAGATGTGTTCACAAGACTTAAAGTTTCCATACATGTTTTGCTTTCTGTGTGTGCATTACGTGTTTGCACATGATCTAGTACTGCTATGCCCTAACAGTGCAGGTCTACAGCAGCTTGTAAGTATCTGTTCCCCGTATGGCTTTGAACATTAATTAAGTACAATGCTATGAAAAGTCACATGATCACTGATTGTAAAAATAAAAGAGGACAAAAAGCTATCCTTTCCTGTTTTCTCTCTGTGCGGGAGTGCCCTCCAACTCACAGATGAGGTCAGATATCTTGGGCATTATGTCACCAGTGACCAGTGTTGGGAAGGTTACTTTTAAAATGTATTCCCCTATAGATAACAGATTACACATCCCAAAATGTAGTTTGTAACGTAATCCATTAAATTACTTAAAGTGAGTAACGTAATCTGAATTCTTTGGATTACTTGATTTGCTGTAGATAAGCAAAGACGAGGATATCTTCACATAAGAAGTTTTGTTTGCTAAAAGAAAATGAAAAGCCCAGATTTTACTGAACCAAATTAAAAATATTATTGATAGAAGAGGAGGAGACACGGTCCGCACAGCATGGTTTAGTCCTGTTAAATCCTGTTAGATCCTGTTTTAGTCCTGGTTTTATTCCTGGTTTTATTCCTGTTTTAGTCCTTTTTTAGTCATGGTTTAGTCCTGGTTTAGTCCTGGTTTTAGTCCTGTTTTAGTCCTGTTTTAGTCCTGGTTTAGTCCTGTTTTAGTCCTGGTTTTAGTCCTGGTTTAGTCCTGGTTTTAGTCCTGGTTTTAATCCTGCTTTAGTCCTGCTTTAGATCTGGTGTAGTCCTGTTTTAATCCTGGTTTAGTCCTGGTATAGTCCTGGTTTTAGTCCTGGTTTTAGACCTGGTTTTAGACCTGGATTAGTCCTGGCTTAGTCCTGGTTTTAGTCCTGGTTTTAGTCCTGTTTTAGTCCTGGTTTATTCCTGGTTTAGTCCTGGTTTAGTCCTGGTTTAGTCCTGGTTTTAGACCTGGTTTTAGACCTGGTTTAGTCCTGGCTTAGTCCTGGTTTTAGTCCTGGTTTTAGACCTGGTTTTAGTCCTGTTTTAGTCCTGGCTTAGTCCTGGTTTTAGTCCTGGTTTTAGTCCTGTTTTAGTCCTGGTTTATTCCTGGTTTAGTCCTGGTTTAGTCCTGGCTTAGTCCTGGTTTTAGTCCTGGTTTTAGTCTTGGTTTAGTCCTGGTTTAGACCTAGTTTAGTGTCTGGCAATGAGTAGAATTACCGAAAACAAAACAAAACAAAAAAACCAACAAAAAAAGGGATATAGCCCAAAATGTGAAAACAGGAAAATACTGCTGTGTAATCCACTTATTTCAACAAAGTAACTGTAATCCAATTACCACTCACTGAAACAGTAACTGTAACTGAATACAGTTACTCATAATTTGTACTCTGATTACATAACTCCGGTACATGTAATCCGTTACTCCCCAACACTGCCAGTGACCTCTCACAAGACAGAAACATGTGTAGGCAGCAGTGTAAGTTTTACGGTCAGGCCAATGTGCTGGTTCATAAGTTCTCCATGTGCTCCAGTGATGTCAAAATTTCACTTTTTAAATGTTTCTGCTCGCCCTTGTACACTGCGTATCTTTGGCGCAACAACAAGAAAAAGAGTTTACAGAGTTTGACAGTGGCCTATTAGCCAGGCTGGCGCCACCTAGTGCCTCCACTCAATTTCATTTCTCTCCAGTGACTAGGTCAGGGATTGGAATACACTAGACGGTTCGTAAAAACCCTGGAAGTGTGAGTTCGGGCACCAGCCAATCAGGGAAGAGCCATATATTCTGTGTTGGCAAGAATTCCCGAGATCGAGGATTTAAAGCCGGAACAAAGAGAATGTTTGGTGAATTTTATCAAGGGGAAAGACGTTATTGCCCTTCTTCCTACAGGATTTGGGAAAAGCTTAATATACCAGTTAGCCCTGTTAGCGGAGCATTACATATGTCACGACCAAATAGCAGCGATTGGTTAAATGATAAAAAGTACCCCTTAACCGTCGAGCAAACGAATTCTAACGCTGTGAGGTCAGACGGGTTTCTACGAAGTGAAACCGGCTGATAAATCAGGCTAGTGATCTATAATGACTCTTTGAGAATATTCCTGAAAGTGCCAAGGTTTTGTTGCGCCAGTGAAATGTTTGTAATTTGTGGTGTGAGACCCAGTGTTGTCACAATCAGATGTTGTATTTATTCATTTATATGTAGAGCCATGAATCTGAGCAATCAAATCATTCAAGCTCTAGTGTGTCCTGTGAGGAGCTCTGTCAGATTCACCTCTAAGCTGTAAAGACACTGGCGCTCTTGTCTGTATACATTATAGCATGAACTGTATATTTAAATTTGTCATTCTTACTATTTTTTTATACTGTGAACCAGATATTATGTGTTCTTAGAAAAGATTGAATTGAATTTACCATATTACTAAAATGTCTTGTCAAGCACTCTATTGATTACTGGCTCTTATTTGTAGATTGAAGGTTGGCAAAAGTATCAAAAATCAGATACTAATCGAGAATAAAACTAGTACAGAAACTGGATACTCATTTGATACTAAAGAAGTCACATTCACAGGACAGAAATGAAGCTTTCCTGAATAGCTTTAGAATGATTTTGAGCTGTATCAGAACAAATATACGAGCACGTAGACTAGTATACACCCATGGATCACTGAGGAACCAACCTGGACCACTGAGGGATTACACAGATATAAGACCACATATATAAAAGAAAGTACTATGATTTAATGTTGAAAATCACATTCTATTGTCTAAATAGTGTTATTTATTATCATTGTGGTATCAGAATCAGTATTGAGTATAGAGCCTACTCCTTAATATCAAAATGAAGTTTGAAAATTTTGTAACCTGACAACACTAATCTCTACTCTTTCAGTCAAAGTTCCACATATTGTTTTATAAAAGAGACCCTGTAGCAATAACATCTCTTTGGAAACAAGCAAATGATGGACCTTAGATCAAACAAAAGTATTATTGTTTAATATATTGAATATCAAGTCCATACCTTAGTACTGAAATTGAGTTTGAAATTTTAGTACCGTGACAACACTAGAAGATAGTGCACTCAAGACTCATCTATTCAGAACTGCATTTGATCATTAAAATAATTTCATTTCATTGATTGTTTTTTGTTGCTTTGAGTATCCCGAAAAGCTGCTAAATAAATAAAATGTATTATTTATTTGCTATAAGTATGCAATTTTTCCTCGTCTAAATTCAAATTAGGCTGTAATTTGTTAGCATGCAACATTAAAGGTGCATTGTATAACTTTTCTGAAGGAGGGACCGTCAAATGCTTTTTTTCCCCCATGGAGATGTTATTGCTCTGTCTGGAATGTTTCACAGTATGGCATTAAACCTTTCTATCTTCATGGAGACCAAATCAGACCAAGTTACAGGAGAGGCAACCCCGCTCACAGTAGGAATGCTTGTTTTTCTAGGTATTTTTGAGCTGTGAAACCACCTGTAATTAAATATACGTAAAAAAATAAAATAAAATAAAATAAAATAAAGGTAGAGCATCTGAACTTCCATAAATCAAAGCACACTCAAGTTCAGAGGCCCCACCCTCTGGAATAATGTAGCAAATACTCTCAAATCAATTTCCTCACTGGATGATTTTACAAGACAATTAAAACATTGATTTGTAATGATATTTAATATTTGGACTACTGAAAGTCAAATTGTCTGTTCATGACTGTTGTGATAAAAATCATGTCTATAGGGGAGGTGATATTATAAGACCGATAAGGTTTTATAAGATTTCTGTTTCTATCTGTTCAAAATGTTGTTTTTAATATATGTGCAAATAAAATCTATCTATCTCCATAGAAACAAGCAGGCGATGGACCCTCCTCCAGAAAAGACAGAGTGCACCTTTAAGTGAAGTAAAAATACAAAACTATTTGATATGAAATTAGAGTTGCTGTTTTTTTGTCCTCAGAAAGGCACATTTAAATTACCAGTCTGAGATAAATGTTAATTTCTTACTTTTTCTGGGAATGGAGGTGGATATTTCAGGAGGAAGAGGCTGGGCAATGTGGTGGACGTACTGGGGTCTGACATCCATACGACTGGGGGGACTGTTGTCAGCAAGAACCAGACTGGAACTCAAGTCCTCACACTGTGGATAAAATACAAAACATCAAATAGTATAATATAAACTTTTTCAGTTTGCCTATAATAATAATAGAAGTATGGGACATTAAATACACCAGAAGTATATGTTGTACTTACCGGATTAGATGACATTTTCTTCTAAAGATGTATAAATAATCCCCAAATTTGCAACAAATTAAGGCAATCCCTTTGTAAGTTCAATTGACTATTTGTGGTACTTTCGACTTTCCCATTTGTAGCATCTCCTCTATCTCCTATTATTCTCTGTATGATCCTAATGGTTTTAACTCTACCTAAGCCACACCCTTTCCTCTAAGTTCCACCTCTTCTTTGATCCCTTCTTCTTCAACATCCATCCATCACCACACAGACCTTCTTGAAGTGAACAGTCACGGCTCTTGATTGGTTTGTACAGGTAAACATTAGGCTGCAATAGCTGAGTCAATGAGTGACTGATGGAGAAGTCTGAGGAATTAGGACAGATTACAAAAGTTTACAATTTCATTTTCATTAATTTAATATTTCTAGGTATTTTTATTGCACCACAATTATCTATTTTGTAGAAGATTGTGAAACTATAGTTTCTCTGATTATTGATGTTTTGATTTGTTTGTATTGTGATTTTAATGTATTTCTTATTCTGTAAAGCACTTTGAATAACTTTGTGTACAAATTGTGCTATAAATCAACTTGCCTTGCCTTGCCTAGAGACAAAACTACCAATAAAATACAGAAATATGTAAAAAGTGACCAATGAAGCGCTTTGTGTTGCATTTATGTATGAAAAGTGCTCTATAAATGAAGTTTGTTGTTGTTGTTGTTGGAGAGGCCTGAGGATTTTTTAAAAGGTAAATTACGATGGTTGACAATATCATTTTCATTCATTTAATATTTCTAGGTATTTTTATAACACAAGAATCATACAATTTGGAGAAGATTGTGAGTTTATGGTGAATTTTAAAACTATAGAGACAAAGTTACAAATAAAATACAAAAAATATGGAAAAAAAAACGTTTTCAAGGCACGTTATACATTCATAAGGGATGTACCGAATTGTGAATGGAATTTCATGTTCACATTTTTTACCGTTGTAAAACTGATCACATATTAATGGGCAGAGAACCAAATAATACAGCAACAGATAAAGGTGCACTATGTAACTTTTCTAGTGGAAGGTGACAACAGCAGCTCATGCTCATGGAGCTGTCATTGCTTTTACCTAGAATGTCCTACAATAAGGTATTAAATTTATCTTTTTCCATTGTGACAAACAGATTACAATATCAGACCAACTTACAAATCAGATCTGTGGAGAGGCAACCCCGCTCAGAGTAAGAATGGATTTTTTCTCAATTTATTTTCGCAACAAAATACCTGAATAAGTGGACAACAAATGGACAGATTATGCAAAAACATTCCCATTGGAGACAAGCAAGTGGTGCACCCCCATAAGAAAGGTTATGATACATTTTATTCTATTCTGTAAGCCAAAGTGCATGTTTTCTGAGAGTATGGTTAAAATGTCAGTGTTCAAAAACTGTGTGGTGTCTTCATTCAAAAGGGGAAGGGAAAGCAGCATAATTTCAAGTCCTTATTAACATATACACAGAATATACGATAAACAATGTAGGGATGGGCCATATGGCAATGAAAACCGTATTGTGATCTGTGTTAGTATGATATTTTGGTGTGAACTCCCAGAAAAAGCAGGTAGTTGTAGTTAAACTCGCAATTTTTTGGTACAGTATCCTTCTCTTCTTCTCAATCTTTTGCATCCTTCACAAATATTTAATCTGGTCCCAGTTATTTTGAGTTGTATTGGAAGAATGTTGAAAAATGTAAGCAAAATAATAATGTAACTGAATAAAAAAATGCATAGAAATGAGCAGGCACGTCGACAGTAATTTGAGGCCACGGGGCAAGAAGCCTCACATGGGCACAGTCTACTGCCCTGGAAATGAGAAATGTCCTCCTTGGTCTTTGGTTCTAGACCCAGGCCTGCCAGCCCGGGAACAGACGGCTCAGGTTCTTTGGGTCCATGGCTTGTTGGATGAGCAGGTTGACTTGTCCGCCCACACTGAGCACTGTGCCTTCTTCCACCCCCTTCAGCTTCTCCTGGAGCCTCAGCAGCACCCGCTCAGCCACTTTGTTGAAGCTTTGACTGTCACTGAAAAAAGTAAAAAAAAATTATATTAAATGGAGAATCACCAATTGATAAAATGCCTATAGTTTAAAGGTGCTAGTATCTCTGCCTGGAATGCTCCACAGTATCACATTTAACAGCTCTACCTTACATTTATTCAATTACAGGTGATTTTACAACTCAAAAATACCTAGAAAAACAGGCATTCTGACTGTGAGCGGGGTTGACTCGCCACAGATCTGACCTGTAACTTGGTCTGGTTTGGTCTTCATGATGATAGAAAGGTTTAATGTCATACCGTGAAATATTCCGGAAAAGCATTTGACAGACCCTGCACCAGAAAAGTTACACAATGCACGTTTAAAGTTAAAACTAGAGGACCAGAATAAGGCTAATTATATAGGCCAAGCTGCGCGAAATTGTGTTGAACATTTTCTTTATCAGGACAAATAAACAAAAGTGAAATATTTTATCGCTTCAGAAAGTGGTGCCATTATTCAACACCAAAACTGTGACACTAAACCATAATATTAAAATGATAAAATAATGATAAAGATTCAACATTTGCGGATCAGAAGTTTGAATACCGATTTCAAACAATACATTTCCCATAAAGTTACAAAGGCCCTGCTCTCCAGCTGAAATTATGACATTAGCAATTACCAGGAAGTGATCGCAACTTATTTTACAAGTTAAACATGACATACTAGAGGTCTGATAAACGTTGTCGGGAACATTCAATATGAGTTTCTTTTGTTTCTTTATTTCGAACTATGTCACGAGAAAACAAATAGAAAGTGGCCCAGAGATTAACGCAATCTGTACTATTTAAGACTAAGATTGACTAAGATTGACAAATGAAGATCATTGCTCAAAATGGAGTGGAAAAAAGACAGATTTTTTGAATCCACTCCAGTGTCAGAAAAAAACATTAAAACAAAATAAAGAAGAGTGACTGGAAATAATTCAGAGAAGTTTCAAATACCTTTAAACATGGATCAGAAAAGAAACTTGTACCTGGATTTGCGGTGGTTGTCCAGCTCATCTGCTCCCATAGTGGAGCTGAGAGTTGCGTTGAGCTCCTGCTGCTCATCGTGCTGGAGGTAGAAAGCTTTCAGCGGGCTCATGGTCCAATCAAACAACGGGTCGTACAACAGCACCTGAATGAGACGGTATTGGTGGTTTTCAGATACTAGAATGTGATTTTGTCATACTCTCAGATAGGGGATAAGAGACAGTTTTTTCCTATTGACACATTGTACTTAATCATAAAATATCCAAAAAGTAAATACACACATGTGAGACCTGATCGTGTCTATTAGTGACAGACCCAACAACTCACTGTATTACAACAAAAATCTGGATTTTATCTAGGGTTGGGCGGTATCCAAATTTTGATACTGTTAAACCTTCTCAGGATTTTACCGGGGTATATGGTATTACTGTATAACCAAAATGTTTTAGTATGACACCACTATATGGTCTATGCCTATGACCTGTAAACTTATAACCTCTGAAAAGTTTCACATGAACCATCTCCAACGCGATACATGCACAGAACAGACTCACCGTCAACTGCACATCCTCTGTCACAGAAAGAACACTCATATTCCACTGAGTCGTGTCCTTTAGTCCAACAGAAGCTGAACCGCATCAGCGCACAAGGAAAGAGCTGTTTATATCAGCGCTTTATAGTTTATGGAAATGAGCCATGTGGTTTTAAGTTTCGTTCCCGTAAAACATAAACAAATGTGCACCTGAAGCCAAAATGATGCCAAATTGCAGAAGAACTAGTATTTTTTTGGGACCAACTCACTTGCGGCCGGACTTGCCATCTTGTCTTGGTCTCCCTTATGAGCGTCACGTGACAATAGAACGAAACTAAATCGAACGTCATTCTCCCCACGCAGTTTTAAAGACGGTAATGAAACTGAGACCGTTACTACTGTTTGATACCGTGGGATATTGTAATACCATATGAGTGCCCAACCCTAATTTTAACAATTTCATTTTTAGCTGCCCCCCATCTGATGTCATCTAAAAGTCAGCAATACAAGCTTTAAAAGACATTGCAAATGGTGAATCAGAAGATGCTGCCACTGATATCTTTCTTACCTCTACAATAGTCAGTAAAGCCTCTTGAGAGCTCCTCATCACCTCCATGGTCTTTTCACAACACCTATCCACAACCAGACAGGTTATTTTACATACAGTATAATATAAACGTAATACAATCAAATATATTTGGTTCCTTAGAGACCTTCTAAAAACTCCTTCCACACCAGTGATGCCCATGCCGTCCACGATGTCTCTAGACAGCCTGAATGGGACCGTCTCTGGGGTGGGGAGGATTTTCCCCTGCTCAAAGGCAACACCTGCACACACAAAATAATACAAGGGCCAATTACTACATTCACCTTACAACAAAGAAGAGAACTGCATTTAAAAATAGTAATATCCTGCCACAGTTATTCCCGCCACTACCTACTGCCTCTTGGCCAGGTTGTCATTGTAAACAAGAAGGTGTTCTCAACTGACTTACCTGGTAAAATATTGAATGAATAAATAAATAAATAATCCAGTGGAAAAGTAAAATAAAAGATGTGTATCACAGCAAATAACTGCAAGGTTACAAATGAAGACTTATTCATAGACAAATGGCTTTCAATCCAAGTCTATGTTTCAAATAAATGACTTCTTTTATCTTTTATAAACATATTTTTGTGTGAGTTTATTGGGAATATTATGAATAGTAAATGAGGAAAATTTATGAGAAGACAATATGTACGGCTGTATCTACACTGTAACTTTATTTCATTTTTATTTAATTTTTACTGTTGTTTTATAACTACATTTGGCTTGCATGTAAAACAAAAATAAAATAAAAACAGTAATATAACCATGAATAAGAGCATATTTGTACACTAAAAAGTGCCACCTTTACCTAAATCAATGTGCACCAATTCAGCAGTTTGCTCGTCAACGAGG